CCGAATGTTCGCTCTCTTTTGTTCCCCAGCCGTTACTATCGGCTTATGTGCGCTAGTTTGTCCGGAAGAGGCGACCGGAAAGAAAGAGAGCAAACATTCCGGAAGAAGCGACCGGAAACAGAGAGAGCGAACATTCCGGAAGAGGCGACCGGAAACGGAGCGATGAGTTCCTGCGTGCGGCGGAACTCTGAGTACGTAAAAACAAGCGGCGTGTAGTGAGTGCCTAGCCGACTGCATGCAGACGACATTATAGGGGGCTCCGTTTACAATCACCAACGTTACCACAAACGTACGAACTGTACGCTTTCATTTTGCATGTCTATCGTACCATACTCCTCACTTCGACAACAAATTCGAAATAAAAGCTACGTAAATTTTTGAATGTTGATCGAAGTCGATACTATTCAACGTTGTTTGAAAAACACGAATATTGTCGTAGAATGTTGTATAAGAATAAATAAAATACGTAAAAATGATTGGAAAGTAAACAGTGATTGGTAAATATAGTACGCAGAAAGTAAAAACGTGCATTTTTTGAAAAAGTACAACGGCCCTTGACCACCCTCTACCCAGCATACAGTTCATACCCTTGTAATAAGCTTGGTAATCGGTAACGGCCCTTTACGATACTAGACACAAAGAAACTTGGGGATAGATGGGGTTGGGGAGGGGTACCCTTGGGATACGAACACGCACGCACACACACACACACACACATACAGTACACGTAGAGTCGCCGGCTTCACCAACACAGAGGCAATGTCGCGCCACCCTCCCACCAGGTGTCGCTGCATAAACAAGGGCAAAGTCCTTCACCGTTGATGACTGGATGAGGCGGAGAGAAATAGAGGGCGCCGGTAAAGGGTAGGCGGTCAGATAAAGGTCGCGGAAAGGTGACGCCAGCCGCACGAACATTCGGAGGCTGTTAACGAACCTTGACTCGCTAACGAACACATATCGTTGTCAAGGCGATGCCAAAGATGCATTTATGAACACCGCAAGCAACACGACGACGAAAACCAGCAAAACAATTGGGCGGAGGAAGGGACAGGGTGGCGAGGGGGAGGGGTGGTGAGCGGGAGGGAGGGGCGAGGGGGAGGAAGAGGGAGGGGTGGTAAGAGGCAGGGTTGACGATGAGGGGGAAAGGTGTCACCACCGCCACCACCGAAGCAAGCTGAACCCGAAGACACACCTAAAGTACGATCCTCACGGGCGCACACCAGGCACAGCTAACGGATATGCCCCGTGCGGCGCCGCACCTGCCAGGAACAACTAACGGATGCTGCGCCGCGATGCGCCCGCCAGGCACAGCTAACGAACGCCGCACCGGCCAGGCGCAGCTAACGAACGCTGCGCGCCCGCCGGGCACGGCTAACCGACGTGCGACGACGACGACGACGATGACGACGATGACGACGACAGTGCACTTACTGCTCTGCTGTTCGGCGCTCGCGAACTATTGGCACTAAGACTAGAACTAGCGGCGGGGGCTGCGGGCGCGTCTGCCGCCTCGTCTGATGCCGCCGCCGCTGCCGCCACATGACTAGCACTGCAGGAAGACTCGTTTCTATGCGCACGCTTGATCGCAGCCTCCGCCTGGTGAAGTGAACGAACACAAGTGGGCCCGGATGAGAGGAGAGCACAACGAGATAAGGGAAGAGCAAGAGGTAGAGCGGGAGAGGAAGAAGAACGGGAGAAAGGGAGGCACAGAGGAAGAGAGAGAGAGAGAGAGAGAGAGAGAGAGAGAGAGAGAGAGAGAGAGAGAGAGAGAGAGAGAGAGAGAGAGAGA